TTCCCCGCTGAATGTCTCGCACGATGAGCTGCTCTAACAGGCAAAAAGGTGACTCCTAAGTCCATGCACACACGCACACACACACACGCACATTTGCACGTGCGGCCACACCACCAACGTGGTGACTCTCCACGTTGATAGGTTGAGACACATCAAGGCGACCAATATGCGGTCAGATGATAGGCTGACACGTAGGCTCCCTATTGGCTCGTGACTACTATAAACGAACTGTTAGTCGACAAGCAGTTACCAATTCGCGGTTGTGGAGTGTGGTTGCTGTTGTTGTCGTTGTTGTTGTTGTTAGTTCCGTCCTCCTCTGCTCGACTTCGCAGTTCGTGGTTGAGGTTTGTGGAGTGCCTACCTTCGGTTTGTTGTTTGCATCACAGAAGTCACTTTCTTTGGGTGTGATACTATTTGTGCATCGCATCGTTGCAGGGCGCATCTGGCAATGAATCTACCAACTTGGTTGCGATGGCTCCTGGCCTACAAGAAGCTTCTCTTCACCCTCCTCTTCCCCATCATCCTCAGTCCCATTCTCATCATTTACCCGACATCCGTAAGTGGTTGGATTTGTGCTTGTGTCGGTGTGGTTGTGGTGCGGATGTTGGCGTACACCCTCCTCATTGTGCCTTGCTTGCAGGAGGCGAAGGGAGCGTATACCCTCTTCTTGATGGCAGGCTACTGGATAACCGAGTCAATTTCCATCTACGTTACGGCCATGTTGCCGCTTCTGATGGGGCCTCTGATGGGCATTGTAGCCTCCAAGGTGGCCTGTGGGGCCTACATGCGCGTGAGTGCATCATTATGCAAAAGCATCTCTGTTGTTGCGAATTGGGTTGGATGGATTGTGTTGTGGTGACTTCAGGATGCCATCATGCTCTTCATTCACGGTGCCTTCTTGGCTGTGGCTGCTGAGCATCGCAACATTCATCGTCGTATCGGTGCTGGCGTGATTAGAATTATGGGTGGTGATCCGAGACTGTGAGTCGTGCACTATTCTGGTTTCTCC